TGCGCAAATTTGTCAACTTGCCTCTAATTACTTTGGTAAAGCATGGTGTTAGGCAAAGCCTTGAAGTACCTTCTGAATTATACAATATAAATGCAGATGGCAATTGTCTTTTCCGTGCATTCTCGTATGTTATAACTGGTAGGCAATCATATCACAATCTTATACGATATAAAATACTTCACCACATGAGAGAAATTGAAAATTTCCTATTGCCACATATAAACATGCCATTAGATTTATATCTAGAGCAAAGTGGAATGGCTAGTGTGGGAACTCGGGGAACTGACATAGAAACTTTTACTGCATGTTCATTGTTATCCACAGATATTTTTGTTTACACCAAAAGTGGTCAAACTTTTAAATGGCAAAAATGTTCAACTACAATGTTAAATGGAACATCACCTAGTAATGAATGTGCTATTTATTTGCATCATACCAGTGCGGTTCATTATGATGTTGTCTTAAATGTTAGTGGGATTTTGTCCAACAAGACTACAGGTACTTTATATGTTTCTAAAAATCAGCAAAAAGAGAAAAGACTGTTTTGAAGGTGATGAGTGTTCTGTGAGATATCAACCCACAAAGAAGGTAAAGCTTTCTTCAGTCAGTGATAGTGGTGGCAGTGATTGTGAGGTTAATGATGTTAAAGAAAATTCATCAGGAATCTTTTCATTCAATCCTATAGATAAAACCACCCAGAAAAATTTGAGCACTTTGTTAAATTTGCCTTTAACAGATTACCTATTATATTGCCATGATGTGAAATTATTGTTACAATAACCTTCAAAAGTGCACCTAATCCTAGGTGATGGCAATTGTCTTTTCCGTGCGTTATCATATGTTATAACTGGTAGGCAATTATATCACACTCATATTCGCAGTAAAATTATTCATCATATGAGAGAAATTGAAAATTTACTATCACCACATATTAATATGTCACTAGTTTCATATCTAGAGCAAAGTGGAATGGGTGATGAGGGAACTTGGGGAACTGACATTGAAATTTTTACTGCATGTTCATTGTTATCTACAGATATTTATGCTTATACCAAAGTGGGACAAGGTTTCAAGTGGCAAAAATTTTCCAGTACAATGTTGAATGGAAAACAACCAAACTACAATTGTGCCATTTATTTACAGCAAACTAATGGGGTACATTATGATCGGTCCTACTAAATACTGCCCGGAGACATTATGATCGGTCCTACTAAATACTGCCCGGAGCGCCCGGGAGAACGCCCGGGGATATACAAGGTTGTATAAATCTGTTCACGATACTTTTTGAGTCTCTATGAGGCATTATATTAGTCCAGGACCTGTATATGAGTTTGTATGCGTTTCATTTAGCACATGAGTTTGTATGCGTTTCATTTATCTCACAAATATCATCCAGTTATTGTACTTTTACATAATCATAAATGGCTGAAGAATATTTCAAAGGTTTTATCCACTTTAGAAACAGGCAATGTATTTTATCTTCGATATTGTGTCCTTCTATATTTCGTCAAATTGCCGCCATTTTAAGGACTCGCCGCTTCTCTGGCTGATAAATGCCACTTCTTCATTTTCATATGTATTTAGATTACATTATCCAAGAGTACTTCATTGTAGAATAGTCCCAATCCAAAAATTGGAAATAATATTTGTATTTGGGGGGGAAAAAACCTCCCATAATAGTTGTCCTGTCAGAATTCAAAAGAAGTAATTTAAAAGTCACACGCAAGTTCGCGAAAACACCTCGTGGGTCACATAACAGGGGGGGAGGGTGAATATTTTCACGAAATGTTTATTCGCCTCCACAGGCCACAGCAACCTAACTAAGTACATTATATTTATTGTATATTTGTGATTATGATAAAAAACAATAAATATTTGCGTATTTTTATCATCAATTATAAAAATACAAAAAATATAATACATTTAGTTAGGTTGCTGTGGTGGCGAACAAACGTTTTGTGAAAATAGTCACCCCCCTGTTATGTAACCCACAAGGTGTTTTCGCGAACTTGCGTGTGACTTTTAAATTACTTCTTTTGAATTATGACAAGACAACTATTATGGGAGGTTTTTTCCTCCCAAATACAAATAATATTTCCAATTTTTGGATTGGGACTATTCTACAATGAAGTACTCCTGGATAATGTAATCTAAATACATATGAAAATGAAGAAGTGGCATTTATCAGGCAGAGAAGCGGCGAGCCATTAAAATGGCGGCAATTTGATGAAATATCGAAGGACACAATATTGAGGATAAAATACACTGCAGTGTTTCTAAAATGGATGAAACCTTCTTTGAAATCTTCTTCAGCCATTTATGATTATGTAAAAGTACAATAACTGGATGATATTTGCGAGATTCGGTGATAAAAAGCAAACAAGACGGCAAAATATGGCTGAAATCGTGTTTTCGTGGGGGGTAAGTGAAATAAAATGTATTATTTTTAAAGAAAACGATGACAATCCTTATGATATCAACAATATTTATATTAAATTAAGCATAGTTTTTCACCCGATGATAATTTTTTTTAGGAAATAAGAATATTTAATTTCTGCCAGGCATATTAGTTATTTTATGCATAATTAGCAATTTACCTGGGGTGGTGCATGGTCATTTTCTTGTAAAATATTTACTTAGACAAATTTTTTCTTCCAATGACCACCCCTAAAAGCAACCCTTCTAAACACTATAAGCACTTCAGAAGGACTATCGCTTTTTGTTTTCTGAAGTTAGAGCTATGTCAACACTGCCGTTTCAGGGCGGGGTCATTTTCAGGACTTTCGTCCCGGATTCCAGTTTTGGCACATATGCCATGTTGACCGCCATGGTCATTTTACCCTAAAACAGTTGAGATTACCTGTGCTAAATGAAACGCATACAAACTCATATACAGGTCCTAGACTATAAATGAAAAATAATATTAAAAGTGATTTTCAACCAGCCTAGCAACAAGCGGTCAAGCGCGGTCGCCCACGCAGGAAGTTGTGCGAAACATGAGATTATATTTATTATAAATGTAAATATTTGCTGTTATTTAAATTAAACTAAAGTTAAAATAAAAAATTAAGACTAGTTTTGTTTTAATATATCAACAGCTGAGAACAAGGCAGTTGTCGTTTGCTGGCGTTCGAAAAAACGTTGTCATCAAGATTACCGAGATCTGTACGTAAAAGTCAAAAACAAAAAAGCTCATAAACTAAAAAGAGAAGATGTCTATATAAATCACAAAACTATTTTCCCAGACCCAGAACGAAAACAAAAACATTTCGGGGATCCGAGGACTTTGGAATTTCCTTTTTATTTAAACAAAGCTAAGTTGAAAACTCGCCTTTTTAAGAAAGCTTTCCTTTGGACTTTGACTAAATATTATTAACCTAATTATTTTATATATCTTAGAGTGGAACTAGACTAAAATATATTCTATTAAACTAGACCCCCTACTCTACAGGAGCCGATATAATATAAAGGCTGAAAAACTGCGTTTTTGTTTACGCGAAATGTTTTTATGGGTTGTCCAGCCATTGAGTTTTTTTTACGCGGAATGTTTTTATGAGTCATCCAGCCATTTTATTGCTTCATTTAGTATTATTTTACAGATAAAGCACTAAACATACTTTCTAAGTTTGTTTGCCGATTGAGAAACGTATCGAAAAATAAAAATTTTGAATTTAGTCATAACCTCAAGTGATATATTATACGCATTAGTTTTGAGCGCGTGTTACGTAACATACAAAAAAATCTCTTAAACATACTTACCCAACTAATGACGTCACACGTTGTGCTGAAAAGGCAACTTATATTTTGCACATTTTTGCGTATAACTTCGGAACTAGATGAGATAGAATAGAGCATTAAACGGCCAATCGGCTTATTTTTTCATGCTCTTTCAGATGAAGCAATAAAATTTTTTGTTGCTCATACCCTTTAAAAAGGCGAGTTTTCAACTTAGCTTTGTTTAAATAAAAAGGAAATTCCAAAGTCCTCGGATCCCCGAAATGTTTTTGTTTTCGTTCTGGGTCTGGGAAAATAGTTTTGTGATTTATATAGTCATCTTCTCTTTTTAGTTTATGAGCTTTTTTGTTTTTGACTTTTACGTACAGATCTCGGTAATCTTGATGACAACGTTTTTTCGAATGCCAGCAAACGACAACTGCCTTGTTCTCAGCAGTTGATATATTAAGACAAAACTAGTCTTAATTTTTTATTTTAACTTTAGTTTAATTTAAATAACAGCAAATATTTACATTTATAATAAATATAATCTCATGTTTCGCACAATTTCCTGCGTGGGTGACCACGCTTCACCGCTTGTTGCTAGGCTGGTTGAAAATCACTTTTAATATTATTTTTCATTTAATATAATGCCTCATAGAGACTCAAAAAGTATTGTGAACTGATTTATACAACCTTGTATATCCCAGGGCGTTCTCACGCGCTCCCGGGCGCTTCCAGATGTCCCAGGGCATCCCCGGGTGCTCTGGGCAGTATTTAGTAGGACCCCATTATGATGTTGTTTTGAATGCTTCTCCTGCTGTTTCAAACAGTTTAAATTTGAGCATTGAGACTAGTTTACCTGAAACCGTAGTTAACTCAGGTGAAAGTCAGCTTAAGAAGTCACTTGACTGCAATGATACAAAAAAATCTCTTCATGAGCCACGTAATCTTTTAAATAATGATAAAACTGGTAGTGAAACCCAATTTCCTCACAATGACTTTGATGACTTTAACATTTTTTCCACTCAAGCTAATAAGAGTAATGCTAAATTTCATAAATCTACTCATTGTGTTATGTATCAGTGCATAATTTGCAAAGAAGCGTGGCCTCTAAAAACAAAACCTAAGTGCCCAACAGCCTATACTTGTCTTAGATGCTCTAGAGATAAAAAATTCCAAAGGCCTTTTCTGTGGATAATTTTATGATTCCTTCAGCAGTGCCTTCAGAATTGCAAAATTTGACTCAGATTGAAGAAATGCTAATTTCACGAGCACTCCCTATCATGAAGGTTTTTATCAATGCTGGTGGCCAAAGAGGCTACAAAGGCCATTGTGTTAATGTACCGCAAAAAGTTGAAGAGTTAGCTCTGACTTTGCCTCGTTGTCCAAAAGATATTGCTTTGATTTTTGTTAGAGTCAAGGGGAATAATTATCTAAAAGATGTTAGTGTTAGAAAAAATAAGGTTGAAGAGGCTTTGTATTGGTTAATTAAGCACAATCCTGTGTATCATGATGTTTGTATTGATAGAGGCGTGCTTGATGGTTTACCCAGCCATGGTGTTCCTGAAGATTTAACTCTTTATCGACAAGCGACATTTTGACGATTTTACAACTCAATTGTTTATAACGTAAATATCTCAGCGCGTATTCACCCCCCTTTAAAACAAAGAATACCATTGAAATCCTAATAAAATAACCTTTTCAATGGGGGGTTGAATGCCGTCAAAGTATTACACAAACCGAAACAATCATATATTTACTCACCGCTTGGCCAAAATTTCGGAATTTCGTTTCCACAATAGCGTAAATAACTTGAGAATTCTTCAGAGTTCGGCTCAAATCAATATGAGTGAAATATGCGCTGTATTCAAGCGCTTTTATATCCAGAATTTCACTTGAATACAGCCACTAGAAATGTTTATTTTGAGTTTTTAAAAATATCGGGTTTTTCTTGGTTTTTCTCGCACGTGCCTGCCACACGCTAAAATTGGCGAATAAGAAGTACCCGTAGCCCGATGCACGTGCAAATCATGCTGCAGATGTAATTTGACCTTTAGAATCGATTTCCGACGTTTCCCGAGCGCTAGGATGTAAACACGCGATGTTTTGGCGAATTTAAATCGCATTTCCGGTCAAAAAATATCCCGCTGAGTTCGCTAATATCGCAACAGATTGAAATATCGAAATAAAAGACGAAGAACTGAGGCTACAAGCATCAAAATAACACTGTAAATAGTGTTTTTGATTGTGAATCGAACAAGACTACAACCAAAAATACATGTTTGAAGGGGCCGAAGTTGTGTCTGGCAAAAGGTATGGCTTTAGTGATAAATTGTTTACATTTTTCGAACAAATATGTAATTTGTTGAAATATGATACGTCTTGACCCTTCAAAGGTCATAAATCGCTATAATGTTTGTCTTTGACTAAAACTATCATTATGAATCAGGAAATATTATTTCGCTGAATTGAATGGTAGTATTTTCATCTACGTAGCATGTACTGAACCGAAGATATGAACCTCCAAAATACTATTGCAGTTGTGCAAAATCGCATTTCCGGTCAAAAAATATCCCATTGACTTCACTAACATCGCAACAGAATGAAATATCGAAATAAAAGACGAAAACCCGAGGCTACAAGCCTCAAAATAACACTGTAAATAGTGTTTTTGATTGTGAATCAAACAAGACTACAATGAAAAACACATGTTCGAAGGGGCCAAAGTTTTGTCCAGCGAAAGGCATGGTTTTAGTGCTACATTGTTTACATTTTTAGAACAAATATGTAATTTGTTGAAATATGATACCTCTCGACCCTTCAAAGGTCATAAATCGCTATAATATTTGTGCTTGACTAAAACTATCACTAGGAATCAGGAGATATTATTTCGCTGAATCGAATGGTGGTATTTTCATCTACGTAGCATGTACTGAACCGAAGATATGAACCTCCAAAATACTATTGCAGATCTGCAATAGTTTTCACAGGGCCGGTCGAAAAGGAGTTAAAGCAGATAGAAACTGAGTCTGATGCATTGAACACTTCTAATATAAATAATGATAAACAGCATAATGTTTTAGATGAAAGCAATGAGGTTGAGCCAATAAATGAAAGTGCACACAGTTTTTTACCAGTCAGTATTAATGGCCAACTGGAAAATGAAGTTATTAAGAAAACTTTAGATACTTCAGTTATGAATTGGCCATCATTAGGTGATGAACCGTTGAATGAATATAGTACACCCTTTCTTGCAACAATGGCCTTTCCCTCATTATTTCCAGATAGTAGAGGTGATCCCACCAATCCATGTTTATTGCATAACGTTACCTTTAGTAGTAAGGTACAACATCTTATTAAATTTGCTGAGAAAAATGACAATAAGTGGGTTTACCGATTTGCATCACACCCACGATTTTCATATTGGGCTCTTGATATGATACAAAGAAGACGAGCTCTACAGCAATCAGCAATTTTTCTTAAGCAGAATCCCGCCGAGGCACATCTTACAATTGATCAACTAAAAGACATGGCAAATGCAAATGATTCATACACGTTTATGTCAAAACTTTCAAGATATGTTGGTAATGTAACAGGTAGTCCTTCTTATTGGTTCAAAATTCGTGAAGATCTAAAAGCAATTATTTCCCAGAAAGGAGCTCCAACCATATTTTTCACATTTTCAGCAGCAGACTTACATGGCCTGAACTCCATTCATTATTTTATATACATCCTCATGATATGTCCTCAAAAGAAAAAATGGAAAATGTGCATAACTATCCACACCTTGTAGATTGGTATTTTACTAAACGCATAGAGAGCTTCATTAAACACTGGTTGTACGACACTTTATAGGTGCAGAATGGCATTGGTATCGCTATGAATTCCAAGCTAGGGGTAGCATTCACTGTCACGGCATGGCCAAATTAAAAAGTGACCCAGGACTTTGCAATCTAACTGAAATAGCGTTACAAGGCCATTTGATTAAAGAAACTGAGGTTGACTCGGATTCAAGTTTAATCTTAGAACAGGCGCAAAAAGCATCCCAAACTGTTTGCAACTATGTTGATTCGTTGTTGTCAACATGGAACCCACAATTGCCACATGATGGAAGTTGGCAAAAACCTAAAGTTCATCCATGTAGCAGATGATACGATGAAATTCCTCAAACCGAAATAGAGTCTGACTATATAGATTTGCTAAATACAGTCCAGCGACAAACGCATTGCAGCACCAAATATTGTTTGAGGTACATATCAGGCTCAAAAGAACTGCAGTGTCGCTTTAAGTATCCTTTTGACTGCTACGACAAAACCAAATTGTCATTTGAACCAATTAATAGTAAGAAAGAATCTGTCTTATATAGATAATAACCAAAAGAAATGATCCAAGACTAAACAATCATCAAAAAATCCAATTGCAGGGTTGGATAGCAAATTGTGACATACAGGTCATCATTGACTATCACGCATGTGTTGAGTATTTGTGTAAATATGCAGCGAAAGGCGAGCCTAGATCCACCATACTTAATGATGCATTCAGTAGTGTTATGTGTAGTGAAGACGTAATTCCAAATACTGCGAAAGCTGTGAAAAAGGTAATGATAAAATCACTTGGCGAGAGAGATTATGGTGCTCAAGAAACAATGCAGTTATTGCTGTCACTCAAGTTGCACAGCTCCACTTTTCATGTAATACCTGTAAATTTAAATGGATCACGAAGAGTTGAAACTACAGCAAACAAATCTGAAAACTGCACTAAAGACTCATTGCTAGATTTTTATGCTAAGAGGAAAGTTTTTCAACAGTTTCATCCAAATATACTTGATTTAAATCTGGTCAATTTTGCAACGCAGTTCAAAGTTGTAAATCAAAAATTGCAAAATCAGCAAAAAATGTTGTGGCTAGAACTTTCCCCAATTACTCGCCAAATCCTAAAAGTAAAAGCTATGGATTGCATTGCAAATATCAGCTACTTAAGTACAAACCATGGATAAACTCAGAAAATGCTGCTTGGGGATATTTAGAGCCATGCGATGGTAATTACATTTCTGCTTGGAGAGATTTCTTAAACTCTGCCTATGCCAAAAAGTATGTTCCAAATTGGGAAGAAAAATTGCAAGGTTGCTTAGAACACAGTGTTGAAACAGAAAATGAGCCTGTTCCTATTGAGTCACAAATTCAAGACGACTGGATGATAATTGCTGAACTACACAACAATAAGATAAGTGAAGACTGTTCTTCTGATCAGGTACAAGATTGGTCTTCAGATCGAACAAATTATAACCAACAAGAAATATCTGAAATGCCAAAGTGGATTGAAACAGAAAAAAGGGATAATCCACAGCTGGATTTTGACTATCACCCTGTCAATACCACACATTTTAGTGAAGAACAAAGCCTTGCATACAATATTATATTAAATCATTCTCATAGAAAATCAACAGACCTCCTTTTACTAATTGTTACTGGAGAAGCTGGGACTGGCAAAAGTTATTTAATTAATGCTGTGCGAAATTACCTTAAAAGGAGGTGTGTTGTTACGGCAACAACTGGAAAAGCAACTTTTAACATCAATGGTGTTACAATTCATTCTCTTCTTAAGCTACCAGTATTGCCTACTTCCCATAAGGATTTATCTGGGCAATGTCTTGTTGCGTTACAAGAATCATTAGTTGATGTTGAATACATCATTATCGATGAGTACTCCATGCTTGGTCAGAACACAATGGGATGGATAGACTGCAGGTGTAGACAAGCAATCGGACTAAAACAAGATATTTTTGGTGGAAAATCAATTATTTTAACTGGGGACAATGGTCAATTGCCACCTGTTGGCGACAAACCGCTATTTCACTTCAAGCCATCAAATGACATAGGTCAACAAGGCTTTATAGCGTACTCGATGTGTAGTAAAGTTGTTGAATTAACAAAAAATCAAAGAGTAACCGGCATAGAATCCAATCAAGAATCTTTCCGAAATCTCTTGGCTAGATTGAGAAATGGTCAATCGACTATTGCTGATTGGAAAAAATTACTTGATAGACAACCAACCAAAGTGAAAAATCTAGACAATTTTAACACAGCCACAAGATTATTTTACAATAATAAAGATGTGGCAAAATATAATTACGAACAATTGACAAAGTTGAATTCTCCCATTGCTATGATAAATGCTCGTCATTCGAGTAGCAAAGCTCAGCATATAAGAGGCTGTCTCCGTAAAAAACCTCCAGGTCAATATGGGGCTCAAAAATAGATTTCTCTCATACTCTAGTATTTTGAAGATCTATCCTTGGGAACATATAAAATCGATGTCATTTTACTCAAATTTCCTTTAAATTATTTTGGGGGGCGATTGATGTTCGATCGACTGGTAACCAACTTGATACTCCGAATGAAGGCCAAATATCGACATATTTTCAGCGCTATTTTTTAAATCAAATTCATACCTAAATTTCAAAATTTTTGCTGAGAAATATAGACTTATCCTTCTATTTTCCCGGGTGATATGACTTAGATCATTATTCTTTGGTATAAAATAGAAAACAGCGCAGTTATTGACCCTCCTGAACGGATAAAGGATATTGTCTCAAAATATGTCAACTTCGAAAGCTTATTTCAAAATCGTGGCACTTGATTGGCACATGACTTTAACTTTTCTATAAACTACTAACATTAGTCAACACAAATCGCCAATAATATCTTTCTGATCTACCATTTGACAAAAATGACAAGCGCGCAAACTTTGTAAAATTTGAAAATGTATCGAAATTGAGCATACTTTATCGGTAAACATAATTCTTGATATTAACAAATAAAACCACCTTACACTACACTGAATGAAGCTTGATTATGTAAATATATGTCTTTCATCATTATTCTTTGGTTTTGCACTCGAATGAAATTGTTTGACTGTACAGTTTGGCTTCAAGGATAGTCATTCAATGCAAGTGTGTCCAGTGTGTTCGAATTCTGTGCGCCTCAATGCCATGAGTCTTGATTGTGACATACGAACTTCGCTCTGTTCGCTTTGTTTACCTCCTGTAAATAAAATGTCTCAAAGAAATTAGAAAATTCAGAATTAGTCATACTACAGACATAATTTTCATTGGTTTGTTTGCCTTAAACTGTTATATAAAGTTTCGTTTTATAGAATGTACGAATTAATCTTGGGGAAAACTCCTAACTGAAAGAAATGTACTTGCTGAGGGTAAACATGTCAATCAAATGACGATGAAATGTTTCGTTGCTCTCTGATTTCCCTTTCTTTGTATTGAATTAAATAGTAGTCTTAGACAGTATTGCACGAGGTTTTTGTGTTTACAATAATGGTGTTCTACTTCTACTACAGCCGCAATTTGTGATCACGCAACGTTAGGTAAACCTAAACGATTTCGACAGACAGTAGATTTTATGTTGACAGATGAGAATGACGGTAAGCAATAATGTAGAAATGTTCCTTTTCTACTTCTGAGTGTGGAAAATTCCGAGACACAGTAGACTGTTCTTCAAAGTTGCTGGCGTGTAAGAATGACATTAGTTATCACTTGCAAATTTGTCACCCTTTAAAGCTTGTCGGAAAGAAGAATATAAATTAATTCTAATTTTCAGAACCTTTCTAATTGTTACTGAAAAAAGGAATAACATTGATTAAATAACTGAGACGTTGAAATGGGTTACAGCTGTTTGCGCTGAATTGTTTTGTATTATATCAAAATATTCGCATATTTTTATACAACAAGAAATAATATAAATTCTTGAAGCATAGCCTTGAGCAAAGTGACCCAGGTCGGCCTGAAAAAGTTGATTTTTTATACAGAACCGTGACTTACTTGAATTTTAGTTTCATTGATAATTGTTTCTAAACCTAGAGACAATTCAGTTGCTAGAAAACTATACTGAGCGAAACTAACAAAATATTGACATTTGACATCACAGCGAGTATACATTTCTGATTTCGTTCGGCCCAGGCCAACAAGATTTAATTCGTACATTCTAATGAAACTTTTATAAAACAGTTTAAAAACAATGAAAATTCTGTCTGTTGTATGACTAATTCTGAGTTTTCCAATTTCATTGAACATTGTTATTTGTTAAACAGGTAAAGGTATTTGTTAAAGAGGTAAACAGAGCGAACAGAGCGAAGATTGTATAGTATGTCACAATCAGGACTCGTGGCATTGAGGCGCGCAGAAGACACTGGACACACTGGCATTGAATGACTCTATCCGTGAAGCCAAACTGTACTCAAACAATTTCATTCAAGCGCCAAACCAAAGAATAATGACGAAAGACATATATTTACATAATCAAGCTTCATTCAGTGTAGTGTAAGGTGATTTTATCTGTTAATATCAATAATTATGTTTACCGATAAAGTATGCTCGATTTCGACACATTTTCAAATTTTACAAAGTTTGCGCGCTTGTCATTTTTGTCAAATGGTAGATCAGAAAGATATTATTGGCGATTTGTGTTGACTAATGTTAGTAGTTTATAGAAAAGTTAAAGTCATTTGCCAATCAAGTGCCACGATTTTGAAATAAGCTTTCGAAGTTGACATATCGCCCCCAAAAATAATTTAAAGGAAATTTGAGTAAAATGACATCGATTTTAGTTGTTCCCAAGGATAGATCTTCAAAATACTAGAGTATGAGAGAAATCTATATTTGAGCCCCATATTGACCTGGAGGTTTTTACGGAGACAGCCTCATAAGTCCTCAACAACTTTTTGGTCTACATCCATGTATATCTCTCTGCAAAGGTGCTAAAGTCATGTTAACTATGAATCTCTGGCCCTCAGCCGGTCTTTGCAATGGATCGACTGGAACAGTGATCGACATAATATATGCACCTAATCACACCCCTCCTAGTTTACCAATTGCTGTAATTGTTAGATTCGATGATTATATTGGGCCATCATTTTTCAATAGAGAATCATTTGTTCCTATCACACCAGTTACTGCAGCTATTAACATTGGCAAAACTATCCATGAACGACAGCAATTACCATTGACTCTAGCTTGGGCATTAACTATTCATAAGAGTCAAGGAATGACTTTGGATTACGCATGGGTTGATATAGGTAAAAAGGAATTAACAATTGGGATGACATATGTTGCCATAAGCCGAGTTCGTAATCTATCTTCCTTAATAATTGAACCCATCACATTTGACCGACTTACTTCTATAAAACAATTAGAAGCACTGAAATACAGAGTTAAAGAAGAGGAAAGACTCAAGAAAATTGCCAGAAAAACATGCCTACTAACTCCTTAAGACTTTAATTTTTTATTTATATGAACTTAATCATTAAAATTAACAGTATTCTATTTCATATCTTGGTTATATTTATATGTGGTTGTAGGCTACTTTATAGTTCAAGTATTCATTGTTTCAACTGTATATTTATGCTTCATGGTTTTATTTATTTTTGAAATTTTTTTCCTTGTCAATTAGATGTCAATGGATTTAAGCGAAGTCAACATGTTTCAAGATGGTATGTATTCCAAATTCATATTTATAAAAGGCCTAAGTGTGTGAATAATGAAACACAAAGGTGTTTCACAAAATGTTTATAATCCACTTATCAAGAATTTCAAAAGTGTTAAATGATGGATTTGCAGATCTCGATCGACCCATTTTAGATGGGGTGATACAGTCAGAATAACAACTGCCAAAGGCAGAAGTGCCAAAGGCAGAAGTGCCAAAGGCAGAACTGCCAAAGGCAGAACAGCCAATGGCAGAAGGTATGATTTCCAGGCGCGGATCCAGACCGTGGCAAAAGTGGCTCGAGCCACGGTCAGATTTTTCCCACCCAGGATTTTCCGGGGTTCACCTTTGTTGGATACTGCATTAGACTGCATTACGCATTTTTAAGAAGTATATATTAGTTATTTGAAATGCAGCAAAATTGAGCAAATATAGGTCTATAGCAAACAATTTGAATAATATCTTTTGTAATTGTTCTCATATTACAGTAATATGTGTAAAAGCAGGAAAAACTTCCGAAATATATTCCTTATTCAATAGTATAATTATCCAGTTAAACACTGAACTATAAAAACCGCCGAAAGCGTGCCGAATTGTGCCGAATATGTTCGGAAAACAGTCGTAAATTCGAAGCTGCGATCACAGCCACAAAATGCCACGGTCAGCGTGCAAAAAATTGTGCAATTGTTACTAAATATAGTAACTTTCTGCCACGGTGCAGCGTTGCAAACCAATCACAGGGCAAGTTGTGGTCATGTGCGCCACGGTCTGCCACGGTGGCTCTATTTGGATTGCGCAATACAAATGATCAACAATAAAGTTCGATACTTGTCGACTTGACGGGATAAAGAATAATACATCACAAGCTACATGGTGCTATCAGGATGGAAGCTTTTAAAAAAAGTCGATGTTCTTAGGAAGCTCGTCGAAATCTTTCAACAAGCAAACCTAAGCGAACATATTTCAGGGGAATTATCGCTCTTGAGGCAACAATATGATGAATTTATCACTGAAGAAAGTTTGCGCCGTATAAAATCTACTGGCGACATCATGCTGCCAACGTGTGAATTTTCAAAACTGCGGTTCTCCAAGAGCCAAACTGAAAGATCTGGGCCTAATGTTCCTGTTAGGTAAGAATTTTTAATCGACATATATTAAATTTGCATTTACGCTGGGGGTCAGGGAATAATTTGTGCGTGCAAATTTGTATGTATGTAAACTTTTGTTAGTGAAATAGTAATATGATCTCGAACACATGGCGGTTGTCAATAAAATATAAATTGCATTTATCCGCTATGTAGTCGTGAAATATTAGTAAAAACTCTGTTTAAAACTGTTATCAGTGTTTTGCTACAGTTTATGGCTACAACATTTGATTGTCGACTGTAAAATGAAATGTTTACTTCAGTATTGGGTCTATATAGTCGTCTATTTGGTTCACCAAGCTTTAAATATTGCGCCTTAATATTTGTAGGTTGAGCAGGGGTCGGTTGTTCTAAGCTAAGGCTAATCCTTGGTTAAAATTTAACCTAGTGTTTTTGTTTGTGTGTTTCTGCATGCCTGTTTACTTCGAAGCTTTGAAGAAAAATTTCATTCATCCAGACAAGATTTCTGAAGAAATATTTCTAAATTGCTCATGTGATATTACTCTGAGTGTATATATCCACACCAGGCAGGGTTGAAAAATATGCCTGGCCATGGTGGAATTGGAACCTACGACCTTTGGAAGACTAGCCCAATGCTCTGCCAACTGAGCTATGCAGTCAGATCGGTTCGAGTATGCAATACTTTGGAACTGAGTCTAGTTCCTTCGATATCAGTGTAATCTAATAATCATGATATTTGCTGTGTTGGACTGTTAGTGTAATGTACTCAGGTGAATAAGATGCTTGTGTGATGTTACTCTGAGTGTATATCCACACCGGGCAGGCTTGAAACATATGCCTGGCCACAGTGGGATTCGAACCTACAACCTTTGGAATACTAGCCCAATGATCTGCCAAGGAATACTAGCCCAATTGGTGGAATTAATATTAGAATGTTAGGGTTAGTAATCCAATTGAGAATATATACATTTTAAGACCTAACCAGGAACGACTGCGAAAAATGCAGCACAAGGTCCTCTGGTAGGAATCGCAGAGCCGTAGGTTCATTTCCTACGAGAGGACCTTGTGCTGCATTTTTCGCAGTTGTTCCTGGTTAGGTCTGAAAATGTATATATTCTCACTTGGATTACTAACCCTAACATTCTAATAACATCACACATGCATCTTATTCACCAGAGTACATTACACCAACACAGCAAATATTTTTAACAACTGGCCCCTGGAGGGTGACTACCTCACAGGTGTTTGTTGTGAATGAATATTGATGTTGTTGTGGATGATGTCATCCTGATCCTAATCCTGACATTAAAACCTAATCCCGAATCTAAAACTGCAACAAAATCCCATGAGTTAGTCAAGGCCAGCTGTGAATTTGATGTCATCATGATGTTACTCAAATTACACAAAGACATTGTAGGGGGCCTCATTGTTAAAATAATTATGATTAAGGCTCAATTTCCATATTAATGATCCCAAAATTTAATCTCCAGTCCTTACCTTAAAACCAACTCTAGTTCTATTGGTTACCCTGACTAATTCTAGTAATTATCCTTTCGGCACAAAGTTATATGAAACGTGACCCATGATTATACAAGCAAAAGGAGGGAAAACATTTGGGAAAACAAATGGTTCCTTGCTATTTCTCAAATGGCAAGGCATAACATTTGTTCTCCCGATAATTTGAGCGAAGTTTGCAAAGTATAATCACATAATTACTGTGTGGTGTAAAGAAGTTGACATTCTGGTTAAAAGTTTCAATTGAATATTTACAAAATAATATAAAATAACCATTGATACTTAAATGCTTAAATTCTTTCAGTACTTCATTGTCTCTTTAATGCATGTTCTATTGCGTTAATCGGGAATGAGAGTTTGTCTGCTCACTTGAGATGCCTCACCAATATTGAACTGTTTGAGAATGCCAAATACTATGCTAACCACTCCTTCATTGAGTCCCAGCATATAAACGTAATAGCGTTCACTACACTTAAAAATGCCTTTGCCATGTGTGTATCTGATGCAGCTCTTACTTTTTTCGAGAATTGTAATGAAATGCAGCAGTTTTAGAAGAAGCAAAGGAAGCTGCAAAAATTACACATTCTCATCCATGGTGTGCATGTTTGCCTTGTCCACAGTAATTCAGTGTGCCATTCAGTCATTCTACCCACTCACCAATGATACTGTAGCGAAAGAACATTGGGATTCCTTGGATTCAATTGTACAATACAGTATATCCACGGGATTATCTTGATGGCAGTGCAATTGAATATGTCCATATCTTTCATTGTGCTGCGATGCCACCGTCTTATTTGGTTGATCGAAGAATTCTATCTACCAAAAATCATTTTATTACCTTGTGCAAACCAGTTAAGGCATTTCCGCCACGAGACCATTATTTTAAAGCACACCTTCCAACCTTATTGAAGTCTGCGATGCCAGTTCATCCTAAAGTTCCTCCTAAAGTTTCTACTAAAGATTTTTCTGCTCCTTCCTCTACACAAGTGACTACATTTACTAAAAAGCAGACGACTGGTCCAAAAAGAAAACAAATTAGCTTAGATAGATGCGCTTCTTGTGAAACGAGCGTGCAACACACAAGAAACTGTAGACAGTGAAATCAAATTTCCCAGCACTAGTAAAGGAATTTCATCTGTAACTCCCAACACTGGTCCTACTTCAGAAAAATATAACACCAAAACACAACGAACTTCCACCAATTCGTGGCCAGATGATATCTAAACTACGTAAATCTGGTGTCCAGTCTTCCTGATTCAAAAAAGTACGAAATTCTGTGCAATCATTGCCATTGGAAACCTGGTTCTGACACGAAAATATTGGTAGACATTTCCGGTTGGCATGGTTATCACGATTTCCATGGTTGGCTTACTTTGCTGTGGCAAACGGTGGTTTTTGCGTCACTTGTGTTTTTTTTTTGGCAGTGAAAGCACGCATAATGCAAGCGAGCTCCAACGATTGATGACCAGTGCTCTTCCTCCAAGTGCTTCTGCTGTCCAGAAACTATGTCAGCATGGTGAAAAATCCAATGTTCACACAACGGCAACTCTCCGTGCTACACAGTTTAAGCGAATGATCGAGAATAAGACACTTGGTATCGATGTGCGGCTGAAAAAACCCACCCCGTAAAAGACCTACGTTGCAACTGAAACGCCAAGATGATTGAGTTCGATGTAGAGTCCGAATTGGATATTTTTTGCTACGAAGAACCTGAAATACACAGGAACAGTACGTGCGGTACAGAATTGTGGTTTTATGTAAGTACAGTGATTTTGTGACATTCTAATGTTGTAACGTTCGCTGAAGAACATGGTATGTTGTTTAAATATTTGACTTATTTTGTGCGTTTCGTTATTTGCTGTCTAAAATATGGCGTAATTAATGACGAATTATATGATAGAATTCGATGCTCAGAACTCAGGAAATGGCATTTCCGGGGTTCAAATTTCAAAATTTTTCCGGGGGGGGGATGCACCCGGACCCCCCTAATTATGCTCGGTTTTGGAGTGCGCCACGGTCAGGGTTTAGGCTGGATCCGCGCCTGAGAAAGTCCGGCAGCATGATGCCAGGAAATTTTTTTAATTTCACAGGAAATTTTTAAGGAAAAGCAAGATATCAAGAATGAAGCTCGAGAAATTTCAAAAATCAGCACAACCTCGTACCCAGGGCTTCTGCGGCGTGTGCTTATTGCTCTCTGAGAGCAATAAGCGCAGAAGCCCTGGGTACTTAAAGTAGCAAACATCACAATTAGAGCATAAATACAACAATCATAACATAAAAATTTGTATCATGTGGCAGTGCTATATAAGACGGTCTGTTATCATGATTATGATACATGTGGAAAACAAGGGCGTACTACTATTATTGAATAGTGCATGAATAGTGCATGAATACTGATATAAATTCAGATTTACAATCTGAAAACAAAATTCAAATATTGTTTCATAGAATTCCTTCATGTCCCTAATTCTAGTAAACCTATATTTTTCTTATTATTGAGGTAGTATATGACTAATTAGTAAGGTAGTTTAGTATTTTTGCACAAGTGAACATAACAAATACTACATGTCGATTGGTCAAATCTTCCTCTCGGTGAATACTCCCCCAACTAATCACCTCGCCTTTAGTGAATAATTGAAATACACGACGCTGTTATTGAATTACAACCAAAATTCAAATTTATAAAAAAAATGGCTGGAAATTTTTGGTCTGGGAAGCCTGCTGCCAGGAAGAAAAATATTTTATCAAGGGTTAATTTGAACTGCAACCAGTGTTTCTTTTTTGAATACCCCTGGGCTTGGGGTGTGTATAAACCCACAGGCACATGTATAGGGTGTCCCAAAAAATGTCCCCTCTGTTGTTGATTAAGTACTATAAAGCCTGGTTTCCATATGGTCAAAAGATCGAGTCATAATCTTTCTCATCAGCCGAAATACATTTTAGAACTGAAAATATGCAGAGTGATTATAACTAGTGAATACTTATGATTTATATGTGGTTTACAGGTATAAACTATTATATACTGACCTTTGAGAAAATTGCAACTATTTTTATGACCTTTATGACCATATGGAAACCAGGCTTTACTCACAGTAATTAGCCAACAACAGAGGGGACATTTTTTGGGACACCCTGTACTGTATATGCTGGGAGTTTGGTGGAAAAGCACCAATGGATATTTTACAATAACAAACGTTTATATATAAATGATCAAAATTAATGAACAATACACTCTGCCTCTCAGCCATGGATTGTATTATCCATGATTACACTCCGACTCTGCAACTGAAAGTTCAAAATTCAACTGCAATATAAAAGTAGATTCACTCTTACTACAAAAAGCTTCATTAAGATTGTCTTCCAGTTTAACAGAATAACAAATAAAAACAAGTATTAAAAGTCCAAATATATTTACTACATATCTTTAGAACTATTACAGTAAAGACATGTACTGATAACTGTATATATATTTTGTAAAAAGGCTTATTAAGATGGATAATTTGAAAGTTTGAAACCTTCTGGTCGATCAAGGTTAAACATAAATGATAAATGAACTACTTACTTTCCTTTAAAAGTTTGCTTGATCATATTCTGTCTCCGTAATTGGAAAGCAAACTAGAGATTGTGTTGTCATACCACTGTGGCGATAAAATATTATTCCCGCATGGACAACTTTGGACGAACAAAACTGACGATATTTTAGGGCAATCTGGATAATTTTCGTTTTAAAAGCATTAACATAACATCTTTTACCCACGGTGGAGCGATGAGCTTGGTAAAACTTCGCAAAGTATCTCAAATTCGGGAAAATTCACCTTGGTTCACGTTGTTCGCCATACATTTCTATAGTAATTTGTATCACTCCGTGGTCCCCGGAAGTGATTTTCGCATATATAATTTGGCTTCACTTTTCACACCTAGAGAAGCTATATCCAGTCTACTATTAGATCAGTGGTTCTCACTCGAAACAACGGTCTTGTGTTTGGAGCTATATAAAGTAAGAATTTTCATAGCGTCCATGATTCCATGACCTTTGCAAGGCTTTTTGTTGCACAAAGCCATAGAACAAGACCTTGAGATAATCTCGATTCTTCCACTGAATTACAGTCGTATACAAACCGCTATTTGCATGAACTCGTGCAGGATGGAGGTGCATGTCCAAAGCCCCTTGTATTCCTCATCCCGGGTGCAAAGCACATGTGCATTGCAATGGACGACTTGCGCTAAAGACTAAATTTTAATCTAAGTAAGAACAACGAAATCTATCACCACAGCTAGAAAGAGCGTCTTGGAATTAGTAATATTACAAAGTTTGGTTGCGAAATGTTGTAAAATACGGAAAATATAGCCCTTCAAAGTTGGCAAATTTGTATACTTTTGTATTACGTGCATGCGTGAATTGGTAACTAAATTAGTTACCAATTTCCGCACGTAATAGAAATGTATACAAATTTGCCAACTTCGCAGGGCTATATTTTCCGTATTTTACAACATTTCGCCACCAAACTTTGCAGTTTTTCTAATTTTGATAACTTCTTTCCGAAAATATCCTTTGTTATTCCCAGATTAAAATTTTTCTAAAGCGCAAGTCGTCCGTTGATAAGCTCAGACGGCAACAGCCGGACAGCATGTTTTCACAGTCATTCGTTGAACAAGCATGCCAAACCTTTCAACTTCACCAGAACCATCACACTATATACGAATTAGTATATAACACTGTTTCGAATCATAAAACTAAGTTTAAACGCGAGTTTTGCATGTATAATAGCTCCGTCTACAAAACCTTAAGAAATATTCTAAGGTATACATTGACTAATATTGTGACCAACCTCCGATTGTCTGGAGATGAAATTGATCAGCTATAAATTCCCCAAGAAATAACCAACAACATTTCGCTCCCCTTGACTAATTTGAATGTTATTATAAATCAAAATATTCGTGTGAAGGAAACTATACTGCAATGCCAATGTCAATGAAGTAATATGTTACAGCGCGAATAAAGAATCCTTGTCCGCCTTGTATTTCCTGTACGTACTATGGCAGTATTAAGAAGGTATATACTGAAGGCCTATTTTTGTAGATGGAAATTTCAAGTGTATTTTTTTTACATGTTTAGGTCTAACCATGGAGTTGTGAAAATGCAACCGAACTGTCTAACTAACTCAGCTATATCGAGCTTTAACCGCAACATTTTACATAAACTATAGTACATTAAAGGCAAGTGAAGTATATTGAATGCATGCGCAAGTGCATGCGCATTTATATCCCTCTGTGGTTCAAAACAATGCAATGCCGTCGAGAGGGGTGAGGGGGCGGGGCATGCAGGCACTTTTCCCCGGAGCCCCCAGCTCCCCCAAAAAACGAAGGCCCCTATAAAATTTCTTGATACAAAATTGCTTAACTGAGAAAATGAATCCTAGCTTCGTTAGTGCCGGATAATATGCAATTAAAGCCGGTTTTCCACTTCAACCGTACCGAAACTCGTATCAAAAACGTTTTTAAATTTCAAAATTTCGTGAAAGTTGATTGCCAAAAAGTGGATTTGTGACGAACTTTTTATTTTGATACGCGAATACACTCGGAAGTACGTGGATTTATAAACCTCTTTTCAATCTGCGCATGCTCACCAGTACGTTTCGGTACGATACGGGCGAAGTGGAAAACCGGCTTAAGTGTAATATGTTGCAAAACACCCCTGGCCCTGGGAAAGTCAGTTCTCGGCCCTGATGCCAGGTAATCCATTTTCAAAAACTTTGTTCAAAGACGGTTTATATATATATATATATATATATATATATATATATATATATATATATATATATATATATATATATATATATATATATATATATATATATATATGAAACTCCAGATTGAGAAAATGAAAAAGAAAGTTAAATGCATGTTAATTCTTTCATCAGTTGTCTTGTATTTAAAGTTGTGTTCCTGTGTCAACTCTGACGTTATTAATTTCCGCCATCTCTGTAAGGTCTGTCAGGTTGTATTCTTGTTGATTTTTAAACTCAATTGACACAACACAAATGGAAATGAATTTTAATTACCTAAAAGATTTTTACCATTATTTAGATTATCCACGGTCTCAGTTCTATTAACCGTGGTTATCAAACAAGCTCAATCTTATAAATTATTATCTATATCGAAGAATTTAAAATGCAGGTGTTAAATATGTTTTGGTACGACATGATAAGTCAATAACTCCTAAATGTTTTTGAACACGAGGAATCGTTCACATTAGATTAGGAACTAGATTAGTTGCGATTACTCATCGAAATGTAAACAGGAACTCTGGAGTTCTTGAAGCGGAAAACGATCGAACGACTGGTCTATAATTGTCCATTACTTGGAAAAACAGTGTGAGTTCCTTGAAATTGCATTGTGCATGAGTTCCTTGGAATTGCATTGCATCATTTCATTTTACTTGAAACACTTACGAAGAACTGTTGTGTTCTTATATTTAGTGCAGAATATCATGTTTCGTTTTTATCTTGTGATTTTTATCCTCGTGCTGTTTTATATTGCGCCAACGTATTCAATAGACGGTATGTGTACATTTTTCATTTTGTTTCAGTTATAATATAACGGCTCGCAATGGTAGACAGATAAAAATTCAGAATTATGTCTTGTACGGAACTGCCATGTGGCTCAGTACATACACGAGTTGTCAATGTCAATGATTTGTCACGCACGTGTTACTGTTTGTATGTTAAAGTATTATTGAATGACACTGTATTATATATTACTGCTCAAACAGTATGATGAAATTATTATATCAAAAGTGAAAATAAAGAAACACTGATGCCGGCATTTTATAGATTCATTATTTATTTATAATATTAAGGATTGCATATGTGAGTTTTACGTAGAAGTTCGCGTATAGTACGCGTAGTCTGGGATTTGCACCAGCAATTTTGCTGCAGGGAAAGAGATTTAGCAAATCAGTGGCTCGGATGACTGCGATTCAGACAAAATTTGGCTGGGAAATTTCAATCCCTTTCGCAGACCTAGAAAACATATTTCTCTTCCTGATAGCAACTATCAAAACTAAAAATTTCCTGTGTAAGTCCAATATAAAACTTCCTGCATATGTAGATTTCAGAGAACGTATGGATGGTGGCGCACATTGTGATAAACTTCAAACTTGCACAAGACAATCTCGACTCGCAAAACACTTTTGGAATTCTTACAATAAGAAAATTATAGAACATTCCAGTATATAAGATAACAAAAATTTCCTGCAAGGTTCAAGAAGATTTCCTGCGAAGACATTTTCTTAAAGGTTTCCTTGCAGCGGTGCGGCTGGCGCTCCCGGATATTTTCCAACCCTGCCCATTCGTTACTCTCATGAAAGTTTAGGTAGGAGTAGGAAGGCTAAGCTGCAGTAAGCTACGGTTTGAATCAACATTAACCTTTTAATGAAGTTTATCCTATCTGTAGCCTTGTACAAAGACTGGAACCAAATTTTAATCACAAATTCTCATGCTGTAATTAAAAGTTTATAACTTCACTTCTTTTGATAAATATAGAATGCTCTGCTAGAATTATAAACTGTACTTTGAAAGATGGAAAACATACAGTGGCCAGCACAAACACAGGTAGGATCGTCGGAGAAAATAAACAATAAACGAACAAACAAATAAACATAAGAGACAAGAAACAACGACAATTACAGCACCAACAACAACAAAGATAACAACATTTCTGGTGAGAAGAACCATTCAAATCCAGTTATACCATTACCTCATTTTTGTGAGTCTTAATTGTACATAATTATCGTTTCCAGATCCTCCAAGGATGGAATTCAAAACAACCAGCCTAATTGTGACTTTCAAAGCAACAATCGGCTTACACTGTAGACTGTGTCAGAGCAACCCAGCATCCACCGTTGAATGGTTATTCAATGGAAAACCGCTCATTTTCAAAGGAGAGAGAATGCACATAACATTGACTCCTTGCCAAGAAACACTGTTTTTATTGACAACCTTACATGAAGATGAAGGCAACTTCACTTGCGTGGCAAGGAACAAATTCGGTGAAGCGAATTCGACAACAGAAGTAAAAATTTTTGGTAAATCTTACTACATATATTCGTTATAACCATGGTATAGAAAATGAACATTTTTCTTTTTCCAATCATTTAGCAATACTAATAAGAATATTTCGATATTCTCAGCGTGATTGTAATAGCAATAATTTAATAATTGGCAATCAAAAATTATTTTTTGTTCTAGGCACTGGTTGTTCAAATGAATGCGTTTTGACTGGTGGTGGAAGACATCAAGTTGGCAGTAAAAGATTGGGTGAGAAACTAGCCTGAATTGAAGTTTCCAAAAACATCGGTTGTGGAGACATGAAAATCACGACGTTTCCTCAAATGTTCGCCCATCTTTGGAAAAATTATAATTGCAACTGTGTGCGTCTGTGGTTTGTGCATGAACTACCTAAAAATGAAATTTCAAACGTAGGGGTCCCGAGTGTAGGTAGTAACCTTGCAAAAATCTACCGTGATTTAATTGTGCCTGAACTACATGAAAAATGTTTCAAACAATTGCAGAGCTGATGTGTTTTTAATAATCTTTTTCAGGCAGTTTGGACACAACAACAACAACAACAACAACAACAACAACAACAACAACAACAACAACAACAACAACAACAACAACAACAACAACAACAACAACAACAACAACAACAACAACAACAGCAACAACAACAACAACAACAACAACAACAACAGCAACAACAACAACAACAACCCATAATGATATTATTGATATAGTTATTGCCAACCTTTTCTCTTTATTACAACTACAGGTCCACCAAAAATGAAATTCAAGCAGTACCATCAAAACGCAGGGACGAACGATATGGTAAAGATATCATGTACACTCTGTGAAAGTAATCCACCATCAACATTAACATGGTTTTTCAATGGTATCCAACTTGATCTAAACAAAAATAAAATATCAGTAATTTCTGGTGGGTGCGAAGAATCGCTGCACTTTCGAGCCTTAAAAAATAATGCAGGAAATTACACATGTATGGCTAAAAATCACTTTGGGGAAGCGTATTCAACGACGAAAATAAACTTTTATGGTAATGAATGCTTGATATTTTTCTCCTATTTTGTTGGTTTTGTACATCTACACCAACCTACAAATTGTGTTGCATGCGGTATATGCTGGTCACTGAAGCGCAGTGATCGTGCAGCACATGGTGTCCAAGGGTTCGAAGACGAAGAGTGGGGGGGGGGGGCAGTGAGAAACCAGTAATGTTAATTTTTCATTGTAGTCAGTGGACTTGTATTTGTTGGAAAAATAAAATGAGATATGGTTTAATTTTAATAAGATATGGTTTAATCACATATTTACATTATTTTCTAATTAGATAATTCGATAATACCACCAATGATTACGGTCAAGCTGGAAGCACAAACGGATACCATTCGGGGGAACGCAGTTAAACTTGGTGCACGACTTAACATTACTTGCACTGCACTTAACACGAACTGTGCGGAGTTTATTTGGTCGTGGAAGAGGAATGATTACTTAATCACACAAAATGAAACTCAATACAGACAGGAAAGTAGTACGAATCCATGTATAAGAAAGCTAATGATTGAAAAAGTGATAGCTGCTAGCACGGGAATATACCAATGCAGTGCCATGGGCTGGAGTAAGATTTTTGCGACAGCGACTAGTAAAAACGAAATTTCAATAAGCACTGGTGAGTAAAACAAAATGGAGGCACAAAAGTGCCATATGTTATTCAAGAAATGAAATTCAAAAAATGTCTGAAAGTATATTTGGTTAATAGATCTGCAGTGTTGATCAACATAAGAAAGGGTCAGTTGGTGACACAATAGTACGGATTCCTGCAACATACTTTATTTGTCTGAATAATTATAATTTCGCCTCTTTTGCATATAAGAAGAGTGTTTTCAGCGTGACTCTACCAAACATCACTAGTTTTCTAGAACAGTTTAGAAATGCTGAGCTATCCGATTCATATAAAGTGTTTTAGTTTTGGCTTCTTCTTATAACAACACAAGATCATCAAGGGTATACTTCTCACTGGACCTCTAGATATTCATTTCGAGATGGTCCTTATCTAGCCTGGACCTTACTGGCCTTCTAAAAGAGACAGTTTAGAACTGATATAGCTATCCAGTATTAACAAACTTAATTTAGTTTGGGTTTCTTCCTGTATAGCAACGCTGGAAGAATAGGGAATGGACTTTACTGGAATGGGACATTTTAGACACAACTGAAAAGCTATTCAGTAAAGAATTAACTTAATTGGAACTAACTACATTTTCACAATATTATTCTTTCTGCATCTTTCCAGTTCCTTGCTTTAAAGGTTTCTACTGTCCACTGAAAGTTCACGGAGCTAAACGTTGTCCAAGCGGTACATTTAGCATGCAACAGGATGCAACAAACGTCAATCAGTGTGAGCCATGCCCAACTAACGCTAGAAACGAAACGTTGATGCTTCTCGATGACAAAAATCCAGAAGCAGCGAACATTTTTAAGATAAACTGTCCATATTACGCAGGTATGATGCTAGTCTATAGAATGGTGCTAATGCCCGTATTCTAAAAGCTCACTCACACTCAATGAGTGAAGATTCAATCTGAGCTTCTCTTGCACGAGTGTCAATGCTGTTTTTGAATAGCTGGATGATTAGTGTCGCACCTTTGACACCTTACTATGTGACTACTCAACCTCCAGCTATTCATGATCAAAAACAGCATTGACACTCAAAAGACAAAATTTACTGGGGGGGGGGGCTAAGCCCCCCCCCCCACTTTTACTTCGGGGGGGGGGGGCTAAAGCCCCCCCAGCCCCCCTGTTCCGCCGCCACTGACATCGTTCACATTCGGAACGATGCGAAGTTTTAATTTCTATATTAGGGACAGTTCATTATTTATACCAGGGGTTGGTACCGAAGAGATATGGGTTGGGTAATCAGGTTTTTGACTAGCTCATGGGTTGGGTAAAAAAATTACCATGCATTGGAAAATATAAAGAAAAAATGTGTACAATACGTTCTGTACAAAAATAGACCATCAGTGATTGAGGAAGGACTCCATCATTGATCAGCAGAAACGTGATTGCTTTTTCACACTCAGTGAGTTTATGAGCTTTTAGAATTTAAGCAACTTCATTTCTGTAACCATAATCTTGTGTGTTTAATTATTATGAAGTACAGCAACACATGGGTTGGGTAAACATTATTTTGACCATTGTTGAGGTTGGGTAAATGAAAGATTTACAGTGTTTCTCGCTTCTCTTCGGTACCAACCCCAGGTATAAATAATGAACGGTCCCTCATATATCATTGTTTTAGCAGAAACGTCAGATAAAAAAGCAGATTTATCCAGTGGTGAAATAGTGGCCATTACTTTGTCATTTACTGTATTGGTTATCGTGGTTATTCTGGCAGTATTGTATGGTATGCGGAACTGTGCAGAGGATTACAAAAACTGTTCAGACGATACTACCATGTTATGAAAAGATGACTGCCATCTTTGAATTGCCCGAGACCTTTTCAGCAATTTTGAGCATCTCAAAAGAACTCATGAGGAATGAAATTTTAAACAAACAAGGCCAAAAAAATATATGTGGGTTTCCGGTTTCTTCTTATAAAAACTTAGGTAGGGTAGGTCGGTTTTAACTTTTTTTTAAACTTTTTTTTTTAATTTCCTAACAACCGGACGCCATTTTGTTTAGTCAGTGCTTCCACATCCAAAGATAAATTTCCCTAATATTGCCTCAAATTTCAATTTTCCACAAACTTTTTTTGATCAAAGCATGATCCACTAAAAAAGTTTAGGGTCGGGATTTCGACGTCCAAAAGCTAGGTAGGGTCGGGAAACCGGAAACCCACATATTTTTTTTTGGCCCAACACTCTTAATTTACTCACTTTAGATCATGTACAGTGTGTATAAAAAAACTGAACCCTTTCAAATCCAAATTAGCTATAACGTATATTGTAGTAATTTGACAGCTCTGATTGCTTTGAATCAATGGTTGAGTAAGAACACAAGGTCTTGTACTCACGGGACAAAACTCGAAGAAACAAAAATTAGAAAATTTAAAAGAAATACTGTATTTCTTTTAAATTATCTAATTTTTATTTCTTTGAGTTTTAGCTATCCAGTATTAACAAACTTAATTTAGTTTTGGTTTCCTCCTGTATAGCAACGCTGGAAGAATAGGGAATGGACTTTACTGGAATAGGACCATTTCAGACACAACTGATGCTATTCAGTAAAGAATTATTATTCTTTCAATATTATTCTTTCTGCATCTTTTCAGTAAGTTCCTTGCTTTAAAGGTTTCTACTGTCCACTGAAAGTTCACGGAGCTAAACGTTGTCCAAACGGTACATTTAGCATGCAACAGGATGCAACAAACGTCAATCAGTGTGAGCCATGCCCAACTAACGCTAGAATTTATTAACAAAAGTTCTATTAAATTTCTTTTCATAAACATGCACAACTAATTAATTATTTTTATTCAGTTTTATAATTCAGTTTTTATGTTTTCGGGCCTCGTTGAGTTTAAAATTATAGCAATTATCTAAATTATTTTCTGAAAAGATACTCAGATACATCATTACATGTATTGCTGCAATGCCAAATACACGATTCAATTAAATAATATATTAATAATATACATGCTACTTCAGCAATACGTCCACGATAGCTCACGAACTAGTGTTGTTGATAGCAGATTTAAGAAATGTTCTTAGCTCCTTCAGTTCATCCAAATTCTGATTAAACTTGGCAACTTTCCTGTCATACCACTCTCGTGTTTTCTTAAGCACAGCAAATGCTTTTGTTCCTTTACCAGGAATGGAAACCCAAACACTGTACTCACGACGATCAACATTGACATCAGTCGCTGGCCAGGGTCTTTTGAAATATTTGAACATAAAACCTCTCACTTCGTCCTCACTTGTAAAAATATCATATTTCATTGTTCGAGTTGGACCTCTCAAGAAAGCTTGTACGCTAGGATGGCCATCTATTATGGCTTCTTCTTGCTCCCAACTGAATGGTTTGACTTTCATCTTCTCAATCTTTTCCAACTGTTCAATTCTACACTTCAACAATTGGATCCAAAACCCGTTGTCACCCAATTCGTGACTCATTAAGCTTTTGACCAGCTCTTGCAAAATACAACTGCCTTCGGAATGGCGAATGTAATCACAAACCCCGTCAGTGAATATCTGGAGTAACTCTTGGTCACCGATATGAAACAACAAAATTGCAATCTTTTCAGCTCGTGTATTTTCGGTTGTTTGATATATCTCCGTATCTTCAAGTTGGTTTGTTTGAGCATCAGTTCCAAATTTCTCTACTAAGCACGTTAAAATGGACCTGAAACGTACATCTCCTTCAACGAAACGCTCATCATTTTTCATTTCTTTAAGATACTTCATAAGAAACTCAGCCCACCTCCCATGTTGCGAAACTGGACTCAAATCGAACAACGTCTTAACTGCTTCAGATAAAGACGGCCAGCCAAGATCAACTACTAGTTTAACAAGTGGTTGAATCATAGAATCATCAAGGCAATACGGTTCTCTCTTACATTCACTAAAAGAGAGATTTTTCACTAATGGTTAGCATGTTTATGTTTCAGCAATTTAATTACGAAACACAAAAATCTCCTGGGGCCGGTTGTCCGAAAGCCGATTAGCTTAACCCAAAATTCAAAGAAAACTTTTAAAACAGCTTGTTTATAAAATTTGGAAATATTTCGTCAGAAATATTGTCTGCATCAGTAGGAGTTTTCTTCTCTGAAGTTTTGAAATAAACAGATGTGTAGAAATACATAAACTAAAACAGCAGGTTAAATTTTAACCCATGTTTAGCGCTATTCCAGCTTTGAACAACCGGCCGCTTAATAGCCGGTGTACAGACTGTGTTATGCTGTAATAGTCTGTGAAAATTCGTGGCATTGCTGTCGACCCCCAGCTGCGCTATCCATATATGGGTAGTTGATTCTGATTGGTCATAGTTACCTGTAAACTCATTGGATTCTGATTGGCTGAGTTAAACGATTAACAAAGTTCTGACTTTTAATAACGTAAACAAATCGCACCACGCTCAGGAATTACCGTTATGTTCAACTCTTTGTTGCATTTTATTTATTCAATTGGATATATTGATATTTAAGTCCAGCCAACCAGAATCCGTTAAGTTTAGTCGCGACCAATCAGGATCAACTATCCAGATCTGGGTAGCATAACTGGGAGTCGACAATACATTGCTATGCCACGAATTTTCACAGACTGTATTACAGCATAATACAATCTATACACAGGCTAGCCCCTGAACGATTGGTGTTAAAATTAGCCTAACTTAAATTCATAACTCAAAATTTTAAAAACCGGGTTACACCGAGATATGGACATTAATCAGACATGGAAAGAGTGTTTAGTGTCCCTCGGATCCTGAACTTGCCATTTTCAAATGTTTCTTAAAAATACGTAAAAAATATGGAAAATTTGACCGTACTGTAGTATATTGCGCAAAATTTGAACACTAAACAACACTCCATAATCTCAAATGAAAATGTTCCTTAATCTTCTTGCCAAAGCAAATATTCCTCAGGATCCCGAGATCCCATTCTTTTCCAGGTCTGGCATTAACTTACCCTGAGGACCAATAGTCTCTTTCTTTTGTCATAATTTCAGTGATCAACATGTTGGCCAAACGGACAGACTCACTCTTTACGTTTGATATCAAGAAGCTGAAGACTGACGAAATCATTTCTGGGATATTTTCACTAATCGCTAAATCTAACAACTTTCTTAGAAACTGCTCTGCCTTTTGAAATGCAGGATCAAGAGAACTTATATTTTGGACTTCATTGAATTTATCAAAAACACATTCAATGGCAGCCTCGTGGTTCCATCGACCAACGATTTCAACAAAATTTGCTTTTGGCCAAGCAAAAATGGCGTAACGGTTATACGTGTTATATCGTATGTAACCTGGATACGACATACTGTCATCACATTCACATGATCCTTTTCCCCAGAGTTCAGATTCAAATTCAGTTAAGGATCTGTCACTTGGACATTCACCATTTATCACATCGTCCCAAAAGCTGAAATAGTCAAAGTTAATGTCTTTTTCAGTGCCGTCAAAATTATGAAACGTTGAACTTAGACTAATGTCATATTCATCAGTACGATAAGATGGAACGCCATTGTTATATTCAAGATGTTCATCAACTGTTCGATATATCTCGGCAATATGAAATTCATATTGTTCATCTTCTGATAATTGTTCACTCGCTTCTTGCAATGCTTTAGCCGCAGCAGCATCAAATCCAGTCAACGCGTTTACCCCATTTCCTGAAAAATCAGATTCCTTGTACTCATTCGACAGAAGCCATGAAAAGTACAGTGCTTGTTCACTGCGAATGTTTGGTAAAATATTTGCAACGTTTCTGGCTACTGTAGCTTCAGTATCTGCAGAAGGTGCATCAGTAGTTGTAGTCCAGTGAAGTGTGTAGATCAACGCCAGTTTATAACCACTCATAACCTCGGATACCTGGTATTCACAATCACTATACAGAGCAACATATTTACAACAATACGGAGATTTTTCACCGTCCATTTCAAACACTTTTTCATTGCCTGCATGACAAACAGTGATCTTGCCACCTTCAAACAAAGACGGAAGTTGAATCTGTATTGAAGCAAACATATCTTTATCTCTTTCTGCGCCATCATAAACTTTACACTGGAAGCTTTTTTCATAAAGAAACATCTTGTGAAAACGAAACTGGATATGTTCTTCGTTATATCTTAGACCTAAATTTTCCTTCACCACAGCAAAGAGATTTTGAACACCCGCTTTAAACTTATCATTCTTTATGGTGACTTGATTTGCATCCAGTTGCCATATTTTTAGAGACGTTGCATCTTTTGGGGATTCTAGATCAACAATAACTTTTTTGGCAATTTCCTTGATCTTGTGAGCTTGTTCATCTCGAACAGGCAGTGAGATATGACCAATATTCTCACCATACAAACCAGGAAAGCACAACTCTGGCAGAGAACCACTACAGGTAAAATCTCCCGTACCATCTTTCAGATTGTAGAGCACTCGATATAGTTCCTGACAAAAGATAAGACAAAATGTCTTTTCTTTTATCTTTTATACTATGAAACATGCTAAGTTAATGTTCATGAAATTAATATTATACATTTTCAACCAATCAACGGAAAATGAAAGCATGCAATCACAGATTTTGGCGTGACCGTAATTCGCCATCAAAATGCTGACGCCATAGTCCTAGCCAGTGCGCTTATGAGAGGCATTCCCCCCTGATAATATTCAAAATGTCGAACGTCCAGGGGGTGAATGCCTTTCATAAGCGCACTGGCTAGGACTATCACGTCAGCATTTTGATGACGAATCATGGCGTGGCAGCAGTTACGCTTTTTTGGCTGAGTCGACCTTCTGTGTCTTTATTCTGTGATGCAATATTAAGAAGCACACTCGAGTGATTTGTTTATCCTGAAGGTGTATAATGAACGGTTTTTATAACTTTTAGTATTTTTAAAGTGCACAGTTCTAAAAATCGGGTCACTCACTGGCTACACAATAATCCATAAAGATCGTATTATGCATAAAAGAGGTGGTGGTGTCTTTGCGTTTATTAAATCTTCCATCGGTTTTACAATTATCGAAGAACTAGACAACCCACTATTCGAATGTCTTTGGTTATATCTTCGCCCACTCAGACTCCCACGCGGTTTTTCGTGCATAATTATTTGTATTATTTACCACCCTCCACTCGATGACGAGGCTGGTCTCGCTGAGTATCTAATCTCATCTTTGGACATTGTTCTTGATAAAAATCCAAACGCTGGAATATTCTCGGTTGGAGATATTAATCGTTTCAATTTCCGGATATTGAGTAATAATTTTAACCTTCGACAATTGGTAATTAGCCTCAACAAGAGGAAGCGCAACATTGGATTGGATCTTAACAAACTTGTTTGAGCATTATCGCAAACCTACGGTGGCCCACAAGGGACACGACTTCACAACTTTAAAAGCACGCACATTCTTCATAGAAATAGCCCTGCTCCGCATAGAAGTTAGCCTGCTCCGTAGAAGTTAGCCCTGCTCCGTAGAAGTATAGCCCTGATTCGTACAAGTAGCCCTGCTCTGTAGAAATAAGCCTGCTCCGTAGAAGTTAGCCCTGCTCCGTAGAAGTTAGCCCTGCTCCGTAGAAGTATAGCCCTGATTCGTACAAGTAGCCCTGCTCTGTAGAAATAAGCCTGCTCCGTAGAAGTTAGCCCTGCTCCGTAGAAGTATAGGCCTGCTCCGTAGAAGTTAGCCCTGCTCCGTAGAACTAGTCCTGCTCCGTAGAAGTAGCCCTGCTCTGTAGAAATAAGCCTGCTCCGTAGAAGTTAGCCCTGCTCCGTAGAAGTATAGGCCTGCTCCGTAGAAGTTAGCCCTGCTCCGTAGAACTAGTCCTGCTCCGCAGAAGTAGCCCTACTCCGTAGAACTAGTCCTGCTCCGCAGAAGTAGCCCTGCTCCGTAGAAGTAGGCCTGCTCCGTAGAAATAGGCCTGCTCCGTTGAAGTAGCCCTGCTCCGTAGAAGTAAGCATGCTCTGTAGAAATAGGCCTGCTCCGTGGAAGTAGCCCTGCTCCGTAGAAGTAGGCCTGCTCCGTAGAAATAGGCCTGCTCCGTAGAAGTAGCCCTGCTCCGTAGAAGTAAGCGTGCTCCGTAGAAATAGGCCTGCTCCGTGGAAGTAGCCCTGCTCCGTAGAAGTAAGCGTGCTCCGTAGAAGTAGGCCTGCTCCGTAGAAGTAGCCCTGCTCCGTAGAAATAGGCCTGCTCCGTAGAAATAGGCCTGCTCCGTAGAAATAAGCGTGCTCCGTAGAAATAGGCCTGCTCCGTAGAAATAAGCGTGCTCCGTAGAAATAGGCCTGCTCCGTAGAAATAAGCCTGCTGAGCACCTAACCTGCGAACGGGCATACTCTGGGAGTCATGAGGAGACTGGTACTAGAATCACGGTAATTTCAAAATGGCGACGATTAAATAAACATGGCGCAATTTTGTCAAGAATGTGGGACAAGATATGCAAATGAACTGGCAAAATATTGTCACAACTGCGGCAAACAAACTTCTGGAGGTAAATACTGACACACTATTTTTTAAGAATGAAGATTTCTAAAAATATGAATGTCTGATATTGAATTTTATGCTATTAAAAAAAGTAATATTTATAGTATCAAATTCAAATGTATAATCGACACCAAATATATACATGATTTAATGATTTAATAAGATTCGGCTACTATTTAAATACAACATATAGAGCCAGGGAATTCGCCACAGGTTTCCCCAATTACGGCGATCCCATATAAACAAGAAATAAATTACTGTACAAAACAAACAAAACAACACAAATTTTCAAGCAACTTAACAAGCTAAAACTAATAAGGCTAATAACGGAAATCTATACTGTCCAATCTATACATGTGTGTGTGTGTACAATGTATATGGCTAAGTGGGGATGAGTTCAAATATGTCATTAAATTTTTGCCTGGTAGGGCATGGGTCACAGCAGTGTAGTTGTAATGCACAGGGGGGGGGGGATACAAATTTCTACTTTTATGATGAAGTGGGGAGATTAACCCTTTCCTGCATGAATTTTGGATTGCTTAAGAAAAAAATATTTTGGTATTGATTATGAATGTTTTAGAGGTGCATTTGCTGTCCAATCAAAAAAAAAATTTTTTTTTTCATGTTTTCGGCCGATTTTGAAATTGTTGCTCCTGAGCAACAACATGCAGTAAGGGTAACGTTAAATTTGTATGGCAAAATATGATGAAGTTATAAATTCATATATTTTTTAATAGAAAATTGGCATATAACAAAAGCTCAAATAACTAAGTATAAAGCACTGTTATATCTTCTATATTAAAAGTCGGAACCCGACATATTGTCAAAATTTTCAACCTCATCTCCATCTTCAACTTCCCTATTATCCCCATCTGGCAAAATTATCCTTGCCTGTCTGGTCACTACATTCATTCCATTATTGCTAAATCTTATCCTCTGGGTAGAACTTCCATAAAATGAAGTTGTTGGTATACTATGAGCTATATTTCTGCTATTTACAATATAAAATGCCAATAAAATGAATAAGGGGCGACATCCATACTCAAATTGCCACGCAAAACGTCATTTTGACGTTTTGAGTGGGTGGGTGGGTTTTTAAGAGTCAGTTTGACGTTTTGCGTGGCAGTTTGAATTTTTTTAAATTAGAAAATATTGAACATCTGTGAAGAGATGATTTTGGATGTTAGGATGTATGTGTAGAGGTTATCTTGAAGTATTTGTGCATTTCACTGTACCAAAGGCTTTAAAAAAACGCGTTCTCAGTTTTCGCGAAAATGCGAAAAAATATTTAATACATGTATTAATTTATATTATTATTTAAAGCTACATAGGCATTGATTTGAAGCATTGTTACTCACTGGTAACACCTTTGAGGTCTCCTTTTAGTTTTAATAGCAATATACACTTGACGTTTTCAGCACTGGGTGGGTGGGTCAAAACGAAAACGTCAAAATGACGTTTTGCGTGGCAATGTGAGTATGGATGTCGCCCCTAAATATATAGGGAAGAAATGAAAAATTCTCATAAAATGGCTTTGGCAACAATTAAACATTCAAACAAACTCTCACAGGATAAACTATTGTGGTATTTTCAACTATCACATGGAATTTTGCATGTGGCCTGGTTATGACTTCCCAGAACCCTTGCTGCATGATGTTGCTCTGGAGCAACAATCCAAAATCGAGATCTTATACACGGTAAAACATAATATTTTTACAAAAACATTGATCAATATTCAAAATGTTACCAAATTTATCAAACAATATTTTTATAATGAAAGAAAAATAGCATACCGCAGTGTAAACAATCATTCAACTTCGAGCAATGATATAATCCGCCATTTTGTTTATGGTCAATGAATTTTTGACAAGTACTTCATGTAATATTTTCATACACGAAGTTGCATGCATAATTATTGTTGTGACTGCCTGTTTGAAACCACATGAGCCCATTTAAAAATATAATTATCCACAGCTATTATTAGCTAAAAAAGATTGTTGCAGGAAAGGGTTAAGAGAATAATTATTATTTTCATTCTTACAGTGTTGTACATTATATTGTGTATAATTATGTTTCTATATATTACAGATAATCAGATCTCAAATTCAACTACTAGTACTCCAGCATCAACATCTAGTTTAAATCCTTCACGAAATCTTCCAACACCAAATAGTTTAAATCCTTCCCAAATTCTCCCAACGCCAAAGTCAACGTTGAGTTATGAAGAATTCAGAAAAAGAAAGCAGGTAGCTCGAACCAAAAAAATCCAATCAGCAAAAAAAGCAAAAAGTAATGAAGAAGTGAAAGTTCAAGTTGGTGTTTTAGAAGCCGATGGTGGAAAGCTAAAAAGGCTCAAGGGACGAACACTTCCATTGGTTATTGCATCTAGTTGCAATGCAGACAACCTACTTAAGGCAGCAATTGAGAAACATGCCAAACACTTTAAACAGTTTGACAAATATGCTGATTACCTTCTCCTTTATCATGACCATTCTATAGTCCAGAGGTTACCTGGCAGTTCTGAGGATTTTGTTCTGAGTGAATACAAGAAGGATTTGGGCAAGCCATACTCAAAAATATATTTTTATCTGTGTTGTAAAATAGATTTGGAGAGGGTTAAAGATTTTGCAGAGACAGAATCTGATGATGATATATTGATGCCTCGAGGTGAAGAAAAAAAACAAACAGTAAAATTGGAAAGTGCCATTAATATTAGCGATGATGATGAAGAAAGAAAATCTTTCCAATCACCTGAAACATCATGCCCCACTTGTTTCAGAATGTTCCCATTTGACCAAATTGAAGCTCATGCAAATATCTGTGCAGATAATCACATCGACCCTATTGGATATGTTTCGGATGATAATTTGGAAGAACTATTGAATGATTTTCCCGAAATATCTACTGATGTGAGTGAGGTTGAGAATACAAGTCCTGATACTAAAATGGAAAAAATGAAAGATCTTGTAACTGAACTTGCTAAAAATGTTCAGCCTGTTAAAATCAGGATCAGTGTTAGGCGGAAGTCAGTTTTCAAGGACTATTTAGAAACTGCCAAGAAGCCATGGTTCAATGGTAGACGGATGCTGAAAGTCACTTTCATAGGTGAACCAGCTGTGGACGATGGTGGGCCACGTAGAGAGTTTTTTTCAGGTAATTTACAGTCTCAAAACTTGTCTTGTTTTAATTTATATATTGCAGTTCAAGATGATCTGACTTATTTCTCAGAACCTGTTTCTTCATATATATTTGAATTTTATTTAATATTTATTTGTTTATACTACCATGTATTTCAATATTTTGTCAACCTTTTCAGTAAACAATTGTAAATTTATATGTATATTTAGAGGTGCTGCAAAGTATTGAACGTGACCTCTTTAAAAATGGTATGCCTTCACCTGACATGGCAGCTCTTGGCAGTGATAAGTTCAAGATTACAGGTGAACTGATGGCTGGCTCTATCGTGCAAGGTGGGCCTGCACCATGTTTTCTGTCAGAGGAAGCTTATGCGTATATGGTTGAAGGTGTTTCAAGTATAACAACTGAAGGGTGGGTTCCTCAAATAAAGGATAAGAAGCTGATAAATGCTATAGATCAGGTACAATTTGGTCAACTTTAGGTACATCTACAGTAACATGTTGTAACATTTGTTTTGATGAATCGCGCGATTTGATTGGCTGCTGACGAGGCAGGATTTTCCTATGACGAGAGCCGAGTCACAAAGTAGATACATATACAGAGTTATAACTAGTGTACCCACTTTTTTTGTGCGCATGCTTGGCAAGTTACTACATGCATGCATCTGATTGGATGACGACCTGATGACGACTCACTTTAACTGCTCGTGGAACTTGCTGAGCATGCGCAGTTGATCATTTTTTGCCTGGTCACCTGAAAAAAGTGGGTACATGAAAACGTAAGCTTCCGCAGTGTTTGCGACGGTCAGTTACAGCTATGTATGTCTCTACCCTGTCGCTGAGTTTCAAACGGCAAAACTGGTGTCTAAAATCTTTCAAACTATTCAAAACAAAGAAAAATAAACCTAAAATAAACAAAAAGAGCAACTGCTGTGGTTAAAAAATGTTCTCAATACGTTTTTTGTTAGCGAAAGTCGAAATTACAAGGTAAATTTTGCAATGTTTATAACTATTAGCAGTCAGGAGTAGTTGACTATGTGAAGAGCTGCAAATTTTATTTGCAGATAGCCAGGAGGAATTTGACATCATCCTAAATAAAAAAATACAACTAAAGCAGCCACAGATTTATAATTTTCCCCTGAAAATTTCTGTTTTTGTTAGATAAAAGAGACATAAATATGAGATGAAGCGAATTAAAAACGTACATGTCCATACTGTTTCTCACACCGCTGAGGGATGCTGCACGCGCAAGGCAGCCTGACCTTTAATCAACAAAAATATCTCATATTTACAATAAACGGATCCGTACAAACTGCAACTCACTAATTATCACATGTTAGACTAAACCCAGTTCTAGTTAGCACACTACTGCAACTGCATAATAACTTAGGCACTACCTGCCAAAGGGTGGGTGGGACACAGGTCAGGCTAGCACGAGGCAAGCAAAAAATGACTCTGATGACCTTGATCCCACCCTTGACCCAGTCCCCCAGCAGTGTGTGAGAAAAACATTTTCTGCCTCTTTCGTTCCTCAGCCAGCAGAAAATAACACTTATTAATTTTATTGTTTTCATATTTGTTGTCTTTGATTAAATGACGAAATACCTCGTATTTTTAAAACATACAATGCCTGAATGCCATATAATACAAAACTGACTGACCTCAACCGTTCGTGAAAAACGGGAAAATATCCAACATCGGTCTTGCTGTATTGACCTCGCTATCGCTCTGATATTTTCCCGTACTGCCCGAACGGTTGAGATCAGTAAGTTATTAAGACTAGTAGTTCTATAGCTACATTCTATTATGTTTTGGTTAGAATGAATTTTAATATTTTGCTGTTTTTTTTTAAAGATCAGAAATTGTACAACTAACGAAAGTCTGCAAAAATTGTTGCTAGAGGAAAACATGATGGATGTTTTGCAACTAATTCACTATAGAGGAGTGCCTTCAAGAGAAACGTTACAATCTGTGGATAACATTTTAAGGTACAGTATGCATATAGTCATAATCTGGGGTTGGTTTTTCGAAAGCTGGTTGGCATACTTCTGGGGTAACGTAAAACGTCAAAGCAAACTTCCCAACACCTAAAGCAGCCAAAACACTCCCTTAATTATTTCACTTTGTTTGTAACGCCAAATTATTTTACCCTAGGTTTAGCTGTCCGAATAGACCTTTCCCCTTATAAGTGAAATTTTGATCTAGACAAGTCTGGACAAAAATTTCATCACAGCTTGAAAGAGCATCACAAAATTAGTAATATTCCAAAGTTTCATTGCGAAATGTTGTAAAATGCGGATAATATAGCCTTGCAAAGTTTGCCGTTTTTCAGTCATTTCGCATTACAAACTGGAAAGTGATAATCAGTTTGATCATCTGATTATCAATTTCCCGTTTGTAATGCAAAATGACTGAAAAACGGCAAACTTCGCAAGGCTATATTATCCGCATTTTACAACATTTCGCAACGAAACTTTGGAATATTACTAATTTTGTGATGATCTTTCAAGCGGTGATGAAATTTTTGTCCAGACTTGTCTAGATCAAAATTTCACTTAAAAGGGGAAAGGTCTATTATTTACTCAATCTTACTAGCAGACAGTTTACTGGTCAAACGAAAATATTTTGTGCACTAACCGATATCAATGTTTGATATTATTCTTTTTCTTTTGTCAAAACGTGAAATTATAGATTGGTTTCTGCATTATTTTCTAGACCAATTGTTATGTATGATTTCTCAAGATATTTGCCCATGTTGGATCAGCTTACTGCTGGATTGAGTTCTTTTGGGGTCATGGATGCTGTGAAGGAAAATAGAGTGATAATGGAGGCATTATTTGTTGCCAAACATTCCACATGCTTTGTACCTACTACTGATCAATTCTTAGACGGAATTGATGCAGCATTTAGTGAAGATGGCAGCAATCGCAAAGATAAAGAAGTTGATATCCATAAGTTCTTCTGTGATTTCGTGCAGGACACTGATGCTTTACAAGAACAAGGTACAGTATACCTGCAATACTGTCGTATTTACATAAAGCCACAGAGGCTATTATGCGAACAAAATGCGAACAATAAAGTGAGCGAATATACTACACTGACACGAACCAAAACGTTGGCAGTACAGTATGGCACGTTTTAATACAATAGTATCAATGCAAATGGCGGATACACAGTAACCTAAGTGGCGCAAACACGACAATGTTAGCTGGCAGAAAATTTGTTGTACAATGTTAGCTGGCAAAAAATTGGTTGCAACTGCAACCAGGCTGGTCATAGCAAAAGCATATCATGCCATATTTTATACATACATTACAGTATAATGCACAGCAGGTTACCAACTGTAATTTTTTTAAATCGTATGCTCTATTCTTTGTAGAAAGTAATGGTTTAAACACACTGAGTGAACTACATAAGTTCATCACAGGATGCGAGAGAATTCCACCTTTAGGACTGCCAAAGCGAATATCAGTTAAATTCAAGCATGGTTGTATCGAGAGGTGTAGGTGTCGACCAACTGCTTCCACGTGTGATCTTAGCATAACATTACCAGTGCACTATCATGATAACTACAGCCAATTTAAAGAGAGTATGGATTCTGCACTTATTGAAGGCAAGGGATTTGGTTTATTATAATGTAAAAGGAAATTGTTTCATCACATCTTTCAAGACGTATGTTTTGTGGTACTTCAATGCCAGTGCTGAAAGGCATTTTTACATACGTACAGTTTATTTAATTATAGTGTTCATATTTATTTGTTATGTTATATATGTGCAGTTTACATATGTTTTGTTGTGGTGCACACCATTTTATAGAACCTGCATCAGGACCCTATTTGAAGAAACTAAACTTGGAGGGTTAGTTTTGGCTGCAGTGTAGATACAAGGTGCATGCTTGTTCTTGTTAGCCTAAAAAATATAAAAGGAGCATTCTGACATTCCAATCAAAGGCCCTGGTAGGAATATACGAGAAACACACTGCCTTTATCGATAACCCATGTGAATCAATCAAAACAACATAGGCTGTTAACAACGACATAGTTATAGTTCTGAAAATAGTGAAATGTATTAGTTTTAACAAACCAAATATTTTTACTACAGTAGGCAAGGGCCATATATACTGAAAAGGTCTCATATTTTCTTTTCAATGCTTCTGAAAGCAACAATAACACCTACCAGAGTCAGTGACAACTACAGTAATAGTTGACCTGCATTAGTATTAGTATTAACTATGCAATCCAATGGCAGTATAATTCAATTTATTCAAGATTTAGTCCCGTTCAATCACAACCAATAACAACCAAGTATTTTGCCTAGGCATGAAAATTCATACCCTGTTTCCAGAGGCTCGTTGCAAGGCAAAAGAAATGAGAGGCGAGGAGGAAGAGCCACTGGTCACATCGGTTGCAAATACCACTTCCACACTTGATTAGGTTCAGAATTTGAATCTCGCATGTGATTGGCCGTTTCTAAAAATATGTCAAACCGGTTTGGGAATGTTACATTACTCTAAGCTAGTTATAGCTATAAAAGCTATAATTAGCTTGTTTATTTCCCAAACCGATTTGACATATTTTTACAAATGGCCAATCACATGCGAGATTCAAATTCTAATCAAGTGTGGAAGTGGGATTTGCAACCGATGTGACCAGAAGCTCTTCCTTTTCGTCTATTTTGCCTCCTCGCAAAGAGCCTCTGGAACCAGGGTAGCAAATTCAAAAGGGGCAACCAGTAGGAATCAGCGGTTTTGCTTATGTCTCAATAATAATATTAATGAGGCTATATAAGTCCGCTTTCGTCCTTAGGATGCAGGTCAACCAATAAAACAGCTAGTAAAGTTGTGATAAGTACATGCAGCCCTGTTGATATTAGAAGCAATGTTTATATACAGTATAGTTAATATTTATTGTTTGTTTGCAAATTAATTTATATGAATATATTTCTTGGTGTTATCCAGCGAGCTAGTGGTGTACATAACGTAAATCTTAATTTTCATCGTCAGGAAATACATCATCTCCAGCTTTTTCAATTAAATACGAAAACAAGATAATGGCCTCATTTGGACTGTTAGGATATTCAATACCTTCTAGGTCCATAATGTACTGAAAGTATTCTTGGTAAGTATTTTCCTCTTCTGCTTCTTCATTGTGTCGTTCCTTCATTTCAACAATTTTATCGTTATTTACTGGAACAAGACAATCCATACCTCCTGAATGTTCCGGCAAATAAAATAAAATATCAGGAACTCCTGGAATAGTTTCGTGGCGCGATGATCTTATATAGTGTGTGTTCCAGTATTCTTTCATCTTATTTAATGATGCTTGTATAACACCTAGGAAACAAAACCATAGACATTCCTTGTGTAAAGTCCTTTCAAAGTCGACTGTTCCATCATCTCGTAAATCCTTGAAAAAGTTGATCCACCAGCCTGCACAGGATTTCCTGAAATGCGACCACCAGTTTTCTATTCTTTGATTCCTGGTTGAGGTTCCATATTTATGGGCTTCCTCATTAGATTGAAAATAACATTGGATAGCAGCAATTTGTCCATTTTCTGTTCCATAGTCTGTACGTGTTAATAATGGGCATCCTCCATGTTCACTCACACAATCCAAATACAATTTAGCTGGCTCTGTTGGGGAGTTGTTTGATCTACAAATCTCCAACCATAACACCTTCCTGCTAAAGCCATCAATAGCTGCGTGGATTGGAAAACCGAATGGCTTAATCTTGTCATAACCTACATTGGATAAAAAATTAAAGAACGAGAATTTACTTCCTTTGATCTAACCTGTCCAGCACGCATTATAGCACAAACACAGATAATTAAATTCAAGACCATACCATCAATATGCCAGCAATGATTAGGGCCATATGACATGTATTTTCGTCTTTTAAGTTTATTTCCTTTTCTCTCCTTGCTAGCTTGGGGATCTAGGTCATGGACAATTTGAGCAACAAGTTTCCTTGGCGCGTGTATATGATGATTTATACGAATTAGGTGCCAAATCTTCCTGTACCCAGAAAGTTGGCCAATCCCTTCTATTTCTTTCTGAATAATACTTCTCAGCTCTTGCTCATTAATATTGACATTCTTTTTCTTCAGGTCATACTTCAGTAGTCTCCGTTTTAAGGTACGGACAGACATATAAATGCCATGATATATGTTGAGTAAATTGACAATGTCTTCATATTTATATCCCAGATGAAAATAGTACTCAATGTAGTTTCTTTGTTCATCATCACTATCAAGTATTTCTATAAACACAAGTGGTTCTGCATGAGGGTTATGCTAATATATCTATATATATATATATATATATATATATATATATCTATATATATATATATATATATATATATATATATATATATATATATATATATATATATATATATATATATATATATATATATATATATATATATATATATATATTATATGGTCATGTGGTACGTATAGACATAATTTTGACAACTGGAATGGGCTATTCCATTTAATATCCGTACCCCCCCCCCCTGTCGAGGATCCCTGGAATTCTTCAGGGGTAAAGGGTTTTGAGCTTGGAATTCTTCAGGGGTAAACTGTTTTGAGCTTGGAATTCTTCAGGGGTAAAGTGTTTTGAGTTTGGAATTCTTCAGGGGTAAATGGTTTTGAGCTTGGAATTCTTCAGGGGTAAAGGGTTTTGAGCTTGGAATTCTTCAGGGGTAAAAGGTTTTGAGCTTGGAATTCTTCAGGGGGTAAAGAGTTTTGAGCTTGGAATTTTGGAATTCTTCAGGGGTAAACAGTTTTGAGCTTGGAATTCTTCAGGGGTATGACAATGAAAAACATGTATCCTCGACAGGGGGGTATGGATATTAAATGGAATAGCCCAATATACAAACTAGTGAAACTACAAAGAAATTTAACACAAAATATAATCTAGTTAAATAGATAGAATAACATAATGTATTGATGTTACAGTAATCGCATTTTCTTACCTGGAACTTCTGCTCCGCAGTTGTGACAATATTTTGCCAGTTCATTTGCATATCTTGTCCCACATTCTTGACAAAATTGCGCCATGTTTATTTAATCGGTCGCCATTTTGAAATTACCGTGATACTAGTACCAGTCTCCTCATGACTCCCAAAGTATGCCCGTTCGCAGGTTAGGTGCTCAGCAGAGCAGGCTTATTTCTACGGAGCAGGCCTATTTCTACGGAGCAGGCCTACTTCTGCGGAGCAGGCCTACTGCTACGGAGCAGGCTTATTTCTACGGAGCAGGTCTATTTCTACGGAGCACGCTTATTTCTACGGAGCAGGGCTACTTCTATGGAGCAGGCCTATTTCTACGGAGCAGGGCTACTTCTACGGAGCAGGCCTATTTCTACGGAGCACGCTTACTTCTACGGAGCAGGGCTACTTCTACGGAGCAGGCCTATTTCTACGGAGCAGGCCTACTTCTACGGAGCAGGGCTACTTCCACGGAGCAGGCCTATTTCTACAGAGCATGCTTACTTCTACGGAGCAGGGCTACTTCAACGGAGCAGGCCTATTTCTACGGAGCAGGCCTACTTCTACGGAGCAGGGCTACTTCTGCGGAGCAGGACTAGTTCTACGGAGTAGGGCTACTTCTGCGGAGCAGGACTAGTTCTACGGAGCAGGGCTAACTTCTACGGAGCAGGCCTATACTTCTACGGAGCAGGGCTAACTTCTACGGAGCAGGCTTATTTCTACAGAGCAGGGCTACTTGTACGAATCAGGGCTATACTTCTACGGAGCAGGGCTAACTTCTACGGAGCAGGCTAACTTCTATGCGGAGCAGGGCTATTTCTATGAAGAATGTGCGTGCTTTTAAAGTTGTGAAGTCGTGTCCCTTGTGGGCCACCGTAGTACGGTCTACGAGAAGAATGTTAAAAACCATGTTATTTAATATGAAAAATAAACGTATTACGTACGATACATGAATAAAATATATATACGCTTCGACACATGGACTCAGGAGAGAGAACAACGTGTTCGAAAGTCATGTGATCACCGTCCAATCATATCTCTTAAAACGAAATACTTAATGTATGCAATAATATAAATGATTATCACTAATTTCAACAAAGAAGTAGACCAAGAAATAGATCAAGAGGCAATTGATTACAAATTGTTAAGTGATATATTGGAAGACTGCATTTCGGCACAAATCATTTTTTGCGCTGTACTTGCTAAATTCAGACTCACTTTGAACACTGTTTGTGCTTTTGCTAATATTGTTCCATCGTTATGTGTACTGCCTATAAAAATATGTGGGGAAGTTTTGAAGTTGTTGACATGAGAAAGGTGAACCTGCCGAATCTGGTCAATTGAAACCCCGTTCCCCCGATCCCCGGGACAACGCGGTTTTAATGCACCATTTACCCCGGGTACAGGGTAAATAACAAGTCAATTTAGTAGCCGGGACTATGTATTTGCACCGCCATACGGCACTGTCTTGATTGCAATTTGTCGTTAGTCCGTCACAATGACCCAGTAAAAGTCCAGTACCATCATCATATAATCACGGTACAAGTGAAGGAATTAAAGTGTCCTAAAAGTGTAGTCGTTGCAAAAACTTTTATGGTTATTCAAAGTATGGCAACCTGAAACTGGATGGAAATTGTATCCTTATCATAATATATTGTATCCTATATTATCATAAAGTCATAAGTTTTGATATCAATTTAAAAGTTGAGAAAAAACAAAGAATCAAACGGCGCGTTTATAACTTTAAAAAGGCCGACTGGCAAGGCCTCAAGGAGCTTCTGTCGAAAGTCCCTTGGGAAGCAGGCTTATACTTACTAATGATGTTGACTCATCCCTTTCAACTTGGTGTGACATGTTTCTTGCGGCTGTGGACAATTCCATCCCTAAATGCACCTCAAGAAATGTAAACAGGCACCCCTGGATCGATAAAGAACTATTAACAGGTTCTCAAAATGACTTGGATAAATTTAAAGATCTGCGTTGTGATACCAAACGCATGATAGCACAGAAAAAGAAAGGTCATTCATACAAAATGAAAGTAGCACTTGGTGAAAATCCTAAGCGATTTTGGTCATATGGAAAATCAATTACCAATCAGAAAAGTACCATTATTTTTTAACGAAACGGTCAATCTTTCATTACAAATAGCTACACCAAAGCTAACTTATTGAACAAGGACTTCCATTCTGTCTTTGCAGCTGAAAACGAATTAAATCCTCTCCACGTTTCTAGATCATGTATACCTCCAAACTATTTAAATAATATTCAACTATCAACATGTGAAGTAGCTAGTGTTCTCAAAGGACTAGATCCAAACAAGGCTAGCGGCCCCGATGGTATCCTTAATCGACTGCTAAAAAATGTGGCCGATGAAATTGCGCCCGATGAAATTGCGCCGTCGTTATGTTCTGTATTCAATTTGTCTCTTTCACTTGGTGTTTTTCCCACTAACTGGAAATTTGCAAACATTGCACCTGTTTTTAAGACTGACGATCCAACACTTACTTCCAACTATAGACCAATCTCTTTGCTATGTTCTATTTCCAAAGTTTTAGAGAGATGTGTAAACACGCACTGCTATCCCTATCTCACATCCAATATTTATGACCTCCAACACGGATTTTTAAAAGAGAAATCAACAGTCTCGCAATTGCTACAAGTATATCACGATATTCTAACCAACCTCGCTTGTGGAAAAGAAACAGATGTGCTTTACCTCGACTTATCTACATGTAAGGCGTTCGATAGAGTATCCCATCGCCTCCTATTGCTAAAGATAGAAAATTTAGGCATCTCTGGGCCGCTGTTACAATGGTTTAAAAGCTATCTAACAGGTAGATATCAACGAGTCGTGCTCGAGGGTGGTGCTTCGGATTGGTTGCCCGTAACATCCAGTGTTCCTCAGGGATCCATCCTTGGGCCTATTATGTTCCTTATATACATTGATGACCTCCCGTCCTACACTCAAAACAGCTCTAAAATTGCCTTATATGCAGATGACTCAAAACTATATAAAACTATTGATTCCACGGATTCTAGTGGGCTTCTTCAAGAAGACCTTGGGCAATTACATCAATGGACTGTTGATTGGGGTATTCCTTTCAACGTGTCCAAATGCAAAGCATTACACATCTCAAGGACAAAGCCTGGTACTATCATTGATAGACAATATAATCTAGACGACCAGCCGCTGGTAAGTGTATCGTCATACTCGGATCTGGGAATCTTGGTTTCTAAGACACATACGTGGGGGAACCACATTGAAGAAATGGTATCCAGAGCAAATAAGACCCTAGGCTTAATTAAACGGATTTGTAAAAACCTTACTGATCCTTACACTAGAAAAGTTCTTTACTGTTCGCAAGCTGGAGTATGGTTCAAATTTGTGGTCTCCTTACACGAAGAAACATCGAAAATTGATTAAGAACGTGCAACGCCGAGCCACTAAGTTTATTTTAAATTATCCTGATCACATGTCCTACACAGATCGGTTATGCCAATTAGACATTCTCCCACTTGAACTTCGGCGCGAAAGAAGTGATCTAACATTTTTATTCAAACGTATAAATGGTCTTGTTCTTATAGATGCTTCCCAGTATTACAACATATACTCGTATTCCTCGTTACAATACTGGAAATTCCAATACAAACAATTTATTCCCAATAAACAAGTATAAGCAGGACTATTTTCATAATTCCTATTTGCCAAGATCCTGCAGATTATGGAACAATCTCCCTTCCAAGATGAAGTCGTGTGGAACATTATCCAACTTTAAGTCGGAACTGTTTACTTTATTCAAGACAATGTTACCAACTTATTGCCCGCCGAAATAGTTTCCGGATAAGTGTGTGTGTGTTTTTTTTTACTTGAAGACACTAATCATAGGGGATTGATATCAATCAAGGGGGTTGATATCAATTGGGACGCAAGTTCTGTTTCAGATTCCTGTCACAAGTACTAATTATTTTGTTACTTTTTATTGTTCTATTGTCAGTTGTAATTGTAAAATATTTCTATGTAAAAGTGACAAATTCATTAAACTAAACTAAACTAAGCCAGAACGTCAGTAGAAGCATCTGATGTGTGTCTTGTGGAGAGATCGCTACTAAAATGGCAAATATGTTTAGCATAAATTTAATATGGGCTATGATTTTTTTGCACGAATTGAATACTGACTGCATCCACGATCTTTTTTGCAGCAATGCTGTGAATGATAACATGGCATGTTATTGCATGTTTGAAACTTCAGTAATTTCTTACTCGCGGAAATGATACTTTGTAACTTTAGTTCTCTTTTTTTCTACGCCTTGTGACCAGTGTGACCAGTACTAGTGTGACCAATGTAACCAGTGTGACCAATGTAACCACTGTGACCACTGTGACCAGTGTGACCATTGTGACCAGTGGGACCATTGTGACCAGTGGGACCATTGTGACTATTGTGACTATTGTGACCAGTGTGACCATTGTGACCAGTGTGACCTTTCTGACCAGTGTGACCATTCTGACCAATGTGACCAGTGTGATCAGTGTGACCAGTGTGACCCAGTGTGACTCAGTGTGACCAGTGTGACCATTGTAACCTGTGTGACCAGAGTGACCAGTGTAACCATTGTGGCCATTGTGACCAATCTGACCAGTGTGACCATTGTGACCGTTGACATGCTATTATTTTTAATTTTAAAAAAATAGTGGTAGCAAATGATGGAATATTATAATCCATTAGATAAAAGGCTCTTTGTATAGTATAACATATTATTTTCCCTCAAGTATTTGAAATCTTGTCGTAGAAAATCACGAAACTTTGTTTTATTTAATTGAGTTAAATCAGTAAATAAGGGGTTTTCTATATAGACTGATGACTGAAATCTGGTATGCTTGCTTTTATGCAATTTTATTTGCTGAATAAGTGAATATACAGGTGTAAATGCATGAAACAATGTGCTTCTATATCTATTTCAGTTCTTTGTGTTTATATATGCTAGATTCTGTGTATCATAGTACATGCATAATCTAGAGGGGCTTGCAGAATTAACAAGAAGCAAGGGGTGCCAGAAACTCAGGGTGGT